AAAGGGCTATCAATGAGAGTGTGTATCAAATATGAGCTCAAAGAGTGTGTATAAAAGGACTATAAACATAAAGTACCATGGTACAAAAATACAGCGCTGTAAATGGTTAACCAATTAAATGATCATGATTAAGTGTATGATAGCCCAAAAAGTCCTTTTGTCATTTATTATTTAAATATAATTGTTAACACTTTTTTATATTAATAAATAAATTGATTAATTTACCATTATAAAAATATCTTGTCAACTATTTGACTATTTAAATAATTTAAACAAGTTTTAGTTAAAGTTCCTATCAGTGTGAAAATAAATGTAACAACATGCAACTATCTGTAATACATTTTATTTAAACATTTAATTAAAATTTATTTTTAATAAATTACTTTAATAATAGTTTTTACTTAAATATTTACAAATATATAACATTTGATATACAGTATAACTATAATATTTTTACATAGATGTTTGATAGAGTGTAACCAATGATAGAAAAATATATTTAAAAATATTATTTAAATTAATAAATTTAGTTCACATGAGTTGTTATACTTAACAATGTTCATTTTTTATACATGCTCATTTATTACGCAAACATTTAATGCAAAAATTCATGAATAGTAAATGTTTATTGCAATTCTGAACCAAAAAGTAGTCAAATTTATAGAATTATCAAGTTCCCATTTAAATACACCAAGTTTAGTCATATGACATACAATTTGTATAGATATAAGCAGAATTAAAACAAATATAAATATTGTATACATTATAACAGAATTGCAATTAGTTATAACAAATTTCCTGTAATAATTGCATGGGTTGTGAGATTTGAATCGAGTTTGTAGTAATGGATTTGATGTAAATATTTCTGAGCGCTCGGATGTCTTTGAAGCTATTCATTAAACCTAATAGTCTTGCGTTCGCCTCCGACTCTGATCTATACTTGAGTTGTAAATATCTCTTAAGCAGATACGTGTAAACATGCCTTTGATATCTAGTTTAATAAAACAAATTGTTTGTAATAATAATTTAAAACAACATGTTATTTAACAGTTACTCACTTAACAGTATGTCTGAATTGGAGGTCCGGACGATTTGGATTGAAAAATAAAATTAACGATAACTAAAAATAAAATAAAATTATTAGTGAATAAAATTAATACACAAAAAATAAATACCAAATCAATGATATTGTGGTCGCCATCGGAGTTATTGAATATATTGGACAATAACCTCTTGTGATAATCATATTTCTCTGTTTGATTGAATACCTTCATGTGATCCAAACTAATTTTCACTGAATTATTTGAGTCCTGCAATTAAAATATATTCAATTATTATACATAGCATTAAGCATAGCATGTATAGAATTAATTATATCATGCTAATTGATCAATTACCATGACCAGAATCCAACTATTGGTGGTGATGTCATAAAACCTGGCGGTGCGCAATGTAAGCATCTCCATACCTCCGTATTTAATTAATGACAACTGGTCACTCTCGCACAACAGGTTAAACGAGCGCAAATTGCGGCACATGTTCACCATGAGCGGTACGTCGGACTCCCATTTAGCAACGGCACATTCCGTAATCTCTTTGTAATCAATCGGTTCCCACGTGACCGCCGGCGCACCGTTTGGTTGCATGTGATTGACTGCAAACATCATTTCGTTGAGATGACTGAACTCAGTCTCATTAAAGTTGTTATTGTAGTCAGTGATGGGCCGCTCGATGGGCACCGGTATCTCCTGTTTCTGCGCTACGGTATCAACAGAATATTCTGTATATTCTTGTGTTTCTATGCAAGTAAGTGACAGATCCTGTTCATCGCAAACACTGTTATTATTGATGATTAACTGATTGACGAAATCACTGGTATAGCCGTTCACATCGATATTATTAGTGGATGTGTTGTCTGAATCCGATATCTGTTGAGTTGTGTCATTCGTGGCGTTGATATCATTGTCACTGAATTTCTCGTTTTCTTCGGTCAACTGTTTTCTTAACTCAATTCTTAACCTTCGCTCCAATCGCTGGCTTTCTGTGAGAATCCGATTCTGGTATACATTTAATAAACAATTAATTAATATTTTTACATATATTTAAATTATTATATAACAAACTAATGACAGACCTCTTTCATAC